AACAAGCCCCCCCCCCCCCCCCCCCCCCCCCACTCTATTCTCACAAGCCCGTCACATGGTGAGTCTCTCTGTGCACCCCCTCACTGGGATGAGGGGTAGGGGCGGCTGCAAATTACATTCTCTCCCCCCCCCACCATTCTCTATTTGTCACCAAGAAAAAGGTGAATCCAAAATTGTACAGCCGTCTCCAGAAGAAGAGCGGAGAGGAAATCTGCCAAAAGGAGACACCAGGAATTCTTCTCACTTTGGGAGATTGCCTCTAACTTCCTGCTGTGTCTCTTGGACAGGAAGTGAAGGGAAATTTCCCCAAATGATACACAGAGCAAAAACACACAACTTGGCAGGGGATTTAACCCTTTCCTACTCCAAGAAGTGATCCAAATCCAAAAGTATCCCATTAAATTCTGTACAGGGACCTTCATAGGACAATACGAATTGTAGATAAAGCCCATAAATCGGATTATATTGCAGTGTTTGATGAAGAGGATTTCCTGCACTCACTTGATCATGATCCGCGGTTCCACGGCGGTCAGAGAATCATAAACGTTCACATAATCCCCTTTGGAGGCTTTGCAGCTCTCCAGCTTGAAGGTTTTGAAATGCAGGACGATCATGTGACTGGCGTCGGCCCGCAGCGCCCACTGGCAGCGGGAATTGGGCGGATACGGAGCGTTGGGGAAGCCGGGGCTGGAGAATTTTGTGGCAGCGCCGTCGGTGGCGTGCAAGAAAAACATACATTTGTCTGAAAGAAACAAAAATAAGAAAAAAATGACACAATGAAGACTTCGCTTCACAATTGTTGGAAGTGTCACCGACGAAACAAAAGATCTCACTCACTGTCTCGGAATGTTCTGGCCATCTGGGGATCGGTAGCTGCAAAACAAGCAGAAAGGGTTAAAATATTTTATTGGGTGGTCACAATGGCGCCTGCGTACAGCTGAGAATAATGAGAGCACAAGGAGGGCAGTTCTATAGAGGAAGTCAGCGCCGTACATGTAATACTCTGATACACAGAAGACTCCATCACTGATACAAAGCAACAACATTCACACTGCGGTCTTACTTCATTACATCCCCAGCAAGGTGCCGAGTACAGGATCAGTAATGGGGTAATAGCTCCACTCATTCTGGCCCTCTGGTGTCAGAACTTGTACTGGGGAATTAGAGTGTAAGCTCCTCTGTACAGAGACTGATGTGACGGGGGGGGGGGACATTAGAGTGTAAGCTCCTCTGTACAGAGACTGATGGGACTGTGGGGGGGGGGGCATTAGAGTGTAAGCTCCTCTGTACAGAGACTGATGGGACTGTGGGGGGGGGGGCATTAGAGTGTAAGCTCCTCTGTACAGAGACTGATGGGACTGTGGGGGGGGGGGCATTAGAGTGTAAGCTCCTCTGTACAGAGACTGATGGGACTGTGGGGGGGGGGGCATTAGAGTGTAAGCTCCTCTGTACAGAGACTGATGGGACTGTGGGGGGGGGGGCATTAGAGTGTAAGCTCCTCTGTACAGAGACTGATGGGACTGTGGGGGGGGGGGCATTAGAGTGTAAGCTCCTCTGTACAGAGACTGATGGGACTGTGGGGGGGGGGGCATTAGAGTGTAAGCTCCTCTGTACAGAGACTGATGGGACTGTGGGGGGGGGGGCATTAGAGTGTAAGCTCCTCTGTACAGAGACTGATGGGACTGTGGGGGGGGGGGCATTAGAGTGTAAGCTCCTCTGTACAGAGACTGATGGGACTGTGGGGGGGGGGGCATTAGAGTGTAAGCTCCTCTGTACAGAGACTGATGGGACTGTGGGGGGGGGGGCATTAGAGTGTAAGCTCCTCTGTACAGAGACTGATGGGACTGTGGGGGGGGGGGCATTAGAGTGTAAGCTCCTCTGTACAGAGACTGATGGGACTGTGGGGGGGGGGGCATTAGAGTGTAAGCTCCTCTGTACAGAGACTGATGGGACTGTGGGGGGGGGGGCATTAGAGTGTAAGCTCCTCTGTACAGAGACTGATGGGACTGTGGGGGGGGGGGCATTAGAGTGTAAGCTCCTCTGTACAGAGACTGATGGGACTGTGGGGGGGGGGGCATTAGAGTGTAAGCTCCTCTGTACAGAGACTGATGGGACTGTGGGGGGGGGGGCATTAGAGTGTAAGCTCCTCTGTACAGAGACTGATGGGACTGTGGGGGGGGGGGCATTAGAGTGTAAGCTCCTCTGTACAGAGACTGATGGGACTGTGGGGGGGGGGGCATTAGAGTGTAAGCTCCTCTGTACAGAGACTGATGGGACTGTGGGGGGGGGGGCATTAGAGTGTAAGCTCCTCTGTACAGAGACTGATGGGACTGTGGGGGGGGGGGCATTAGAGTGTAAGCTCCTCTGTACAGAGACTGATGGGACTGTGGGGGGGGGGGCATTAGAGTGTAAGCTCCTCTGTACAGAGACTGATGGGACTGTGGGGGGGGGGGCATTAGAGTGTAAGCTCCTCTGTACAGAGACTGATGGGACTGTGGGGGGGGGGGCATTAGAGTGTAAGCTCCTCTGTACAGAGACTGATGGGACTGTGGGGGGGGGGGCATTAGAGTGTAAGCTCCTCTGTACAGAGACTGATGGGACTGTGGGGGGGGGGGCATTAGAGTGTAAGCTCCTCTGTACAGAGACTGATGGGACTGTGGGGGGGGGGGCATTAGAGTGTAAGCTCCTCTGTACAGAGACTGATGGGACTGTGGGGGGGGGGGCATTAGAGTGTAAGCTCCTCTGTACAGAGACTGATGGGACTGTGGGGGGGGGGGCATTAGAGTGTAAGCTCCTCTGTACAGAGACTGATGGGACTGTGGGGGGGGGGGCATTAGAGTGTAAGCTCCTCTGTACAGAGACTGATGGGACTGTGGGGGGGGGGGCATTAGAGTGTAAGCTCCTCTGTACAGAGACTGATGGGACTGTGGGGGGGGGGGCATTAGAGTGTAAGCTCCTCTGTACAGAGACTGATGGGACTGTGGGGGGGGGGGCATTAGAGTGTAAGCTCCTCTGTACAGAGACTGATGGGACTGTGGGGGGGGGGGCATTAGAGTGTAAGCTCCTCTGTACAGAGACTGATGGGACTGTGGGGGGGGGGGCATTAGAGTGTAAGCTCCTCTGTACAGAGACTGATGGGACTGTGGGGGGGGGGGCATTAGAGTGTAAGCTCCTCTGTACAGAGACTGATGGGACTGTGGGGGGGGGGGCATTAGAGTGTAAGCTCCTCTGTACAGAGACTGATGGGACTGTGGGGGGGGGGGCATTAGAGTGTAAGCTCCTCTGTACAGAGACTGATGGGACTGTGGGGGGGGGGGCATTAGAGTGTAAGCTCCTCTGTACAGAGACTGATGGGACTGTGGGGGGGGGGGCATTAGAGTGTAAGCTCCTCTGTACAGAGACTGATGGGACTGTGGGGGGGGGGGCATTAGAGTGTAAGCTCCTCTGTACAGAGACTGATGGGACTGTGGGGGGGGGGGCATTAGAGTGTAAGCTCCTCTGTACAGAGACTGATGGGACTGTGGGGGGGGGGGCATTAGAGTGTAAGCTCCTCTGTACAGAGACTGATGGGACTGTGGGGGGGGGGGCATTAGAGTGTAAGCTCCTCTGTACAGAGACTGATGGGACTGTGGGGGGGGGGGCATTAGAGTGTAAGCTCCTCTGTACAGAGACTGATGGGACTGTGGGGGGGGGGGCATTAGAGTGTAAGCTCCTCTGTACAGAGACTGATGGGACTGTGGGGGGGGGGGCATTAGAGTGTAAGCTCCTCTGTACAGAGACTGATGGGACTGTGGGGGGGGGGGCATTAGAGTGTAAGCTCCTCTGTACAGAGACTGATGGGACTGTGGGGGGGGGGGCATTAGAGTGTAAGCTCCTCTGTACAGAGACTGATGGGACTGTGGGGGGGGGGGCATTAGAGTGTAAGCTCCTCTGTACAGAGACTGATGGGACTGTGGGGGGGGGGGCATTAGAGTGTAAGCTCCTCTGTACAGAGACTGATGGGACTGTGGGGGGGGGGGCATTAGAGTGTAAGCTCCTCTGTACAGAGACTGATGGGACTGTGGGGGGGGGGGCATTAGAGTGTAAGCTCCTCTGTACAGAGACTGATGGGACTGTGGGGGGGGGGGCATTAGAGTGTAAGCTCCTCTGTACAGAGACTGATGTGACGGGGGGAGGGGACATTAGAGTGTAAGCTCCTCTGTTGCAGGGATGAGGTGAGTAGTACGGAGGACTCTGAATGCTGGCAATAGACTCCTATTAATGACGATCACTTACAGTACGCCACAAAGGAATCCACGTACAGGGCGCCTCTCTGACGCAGAGTGACCGTTTGCACTTTCAGATCGGACATGGCTGCATCCAGATTGGCCTCCAGATACGTCGGCACAGAAAACTCCGACCAGTAGTAGCTGATGACGCTTCCCTCGCTGTATGAAGATCAGAAAACACGAGATTTTACTATGAATGGAGTCACAACGCAGAAAAGGACACAACGAAGGTCTACAAAGTGCGCAGAGAGTCAGTTCCTCCTCCACAGACCCACAAACGCTGTGCTGGGAGCGCCCTCCATGGGTGAGGGAACCTCGGGGGGGGGGGGGGGGGGGACTCGGGTTTTGCTCACAATTCAATGAACTATAAAAGACAAACAATGCGCATTACCTGAACGCCGTCACGTTGCACTGGACAAAGTGCGGCCCAATCGCTGGACTGGTTTGATACGTTTTCTGCAGCTGTAGCGAGAAAAGTCAGAAAATGAGCGAGACTGATAACCGATCAATGGGTGATAGACCGATATATGATCAATAACACGAGTGCCAACGTGCAGATATATCTGGAGGTGACAGACCAGATGTCAGCAGCCCTGGCAGGCATGCCCGGGTGGACACGTGATGTCATTTGCTGCTTGTAGCTGCAATTGACGGAAATAGGAAATCAATTACAAAGCCTGGCACACCCAGGATGATGGCGTGCTGTGAGGATGAAGCACACCCGCACGCCTGATCTGGGGTCTGTGGTGCATGCATTGGGGGCTGATCTGATGTCTGTGGTGCATGCATTGGGGGCTGATCTGATGTCTGTGGTGCATGCATTGGGGGCTGATCTGATGTCTGTGGTGCATGCATTGGGGGCTGATCTGATGTCTGTGGTGCATGCATTGGGGGGCTGATCTGATGTCTGTGGTGCATGCATTGGGGGGCTGATCTGATGTCTGTGGTGCATGCATTGGGGGGCTGATCTGAGGTCTGTGGTGCATGCATTGGGGCCGATCTGAGGTCTGAAGACTACAACACACAATGATTTATTGGCACCCCACTTGTGCAGATGGAAAAGGGTTACACCATCCTCGGCATCATCATTTCTGACCGCGCCATTTCATAGAGGGGGATGGGTAGGGATTAGCTCCAGCAGTACATCTCCTGTAATGAAGAGCCAATGGCCGCCATCACACCCCCGATCCTCAGAACTCAACCATCTGCCCCAAATTATAATGTCGGATAAAATAAGAACGTTTGTTACCATTTCAACAACTTTGGAGGAGAGATCGGCAAACTCCGCCGAGGAAGGGTTCTCGTAGGCATTGATAAACGGATAATTCGTCACCCTCAAGTAGCCGGTATAGACCTTCTGCACCGGGACATTCCGGTCTGGAAGAGAGAACATACACTGAGTGGCGGGCGCGGAGAACGAAGCGTCACCAGTTATCAAAAGACCAGAACCGCCATGACTTACATGCAAAGTGCCAAACCAGGAGGCCGACCGTGAGAGAGAGGAGGAGGGCGCCGAGCACCAAACCGGCGATCAGCAGCTTAGTCTTCGGTGACATCTTCTCCACCTTCTTGGTATCGGAGGCCGGAAGGAACTCCACCATTTCCTCGAAGCCATTGAGACTCTACAGAGAGGAAAACACAAAGTGAGTACAAAGTAACAATATTACACGAGGAACACCGACAGTAACAACGGCAGACAATGGAGTCCTTGCCGCTCCTCACCGCACCCCAATATTACACGAGAAACACCGACAGTAACAATGGCAGACAATGGAGTCCTTGCCGCTCCTCACCGCACCCACACTGCACCCCAATATTACACGAGGAACACCGACAGTAACAATGGCAGACAATGGAGTCCTTGCCGCTCCTCACCGCACCCACACTGCACCCCAATATTACACGAGGAACACCGACAGTAACAATGGCAGACAATGGAGTCCTTGCCGCTCCTCACCGCACCCACACTGCACCCCAATATTACACGAGGAACACCGACAGTAACAATGGCAGACAATGGAGTCCTTGCCGCTCCTCACCGCACCCACACTGCACCCCAATATTACACGAGGAACACCGACAGTAACAATGGCAGACAATGGAGTCCTTGCCGCTCCTCACCGCACCCACACTGCACCCCAATATTACACGAGGAACACCGACAGTAACAATGGCAGACAATGGAGTCCTTGCCGCTCCTCACCGCACCCACACTGCACCCCAATATTACACGAGGAACACCGACAGTAACAATGGCAGACAATGGAGTCCTTGCCGCTCCTCACCGCACCCACACTGCACCCCAATATTACATGAGGACACCGACAGTAACAATGGCAGACAATGGAGTCCTTGCCGCTCCTCATTGCACCCCAATATTACAGAACTGGAGACCACCACGGACCCCGCTCTCCGAGGACGGTGTGATAACGATGAAGCTCTAAAGAAGGTGAATTGGAAACGTTCGGATACTTCTAATAAACAACAAAAACCCGATATCTCCATGGTAACCACCCGGAACATAAATGCCGGAAGCTCGTCCACTCCGAGACGCCACCAACCTAAACCTAGCGTGCGCAGAGCGCGGCTCAGACACGCCGCCGACCTCGGAGACCGCCGACCTCGGAGACCGACCAATCGCTGTTCTTAAAAAGGTGAACTCCAACAGAAATGTCCCCCACTTCCCCCCATCTTCAGGAACCGGAAACTTTATAAAGCTTTTCCGTCATCTCATCACTTTCCAGATATTTAATATTCCTTTATATCCGATGTGGCAGAGAAATCTCCGTCATACAATCCGTCTCATCACCATGACGAGTATCAATCATACGATCAATGTATACAATGTGTAACCTCATACAGTGTTCATAGGAGGACACGGCGGCCATTGTGGATTTTATTTCTCTCTATTATTATCATCATCATTCACTGAACTGGTAACATTGTTCTTGTTTTCTACACTCAGAGATGGAACACACACACACACACAGAGAGAGAGAGACACACACACAGAGAGAGAGAGAGAGAGAGAGAGACACACACACACACACACACACACACACA